ACTCGGGCCGCCGAGTAAATCCTTAACAATGACAATCCATTCCCACCTGACCATACAAATCAAGGAAGCTCAACTGGAAGCTTTGAAACCAGAAAAGGTGGCAGGAGAGACATTAAGGGGAATGGATAAAAACTTAGAAGTCAAGGATGATGGAGCACGTTATATCATGAACCGGATTTGGACACCGAAGTTCGGTGGACTCCGAGACGTCGTCATGAATGAAGCACACACAGACTCAATACTCCATCCATCCCGGGTCGGATAAGATGTATCTGGACCTCAAGAAATTATACTGGTGGCCGAACATGAAAGCTGAGATTGCTACCTATGTGAGCAAGTGCCTGACTTGCGCCAAGGTCAAAATCGAATACCAGAAACCATCCGGGCTATTACAACAGCCGGATATACCTGAGTGGAAGTGGGAACGAATAACCATGGACTTCATAACCAAGAACCAAGCTGCCTAAGACATCGGGCGGGCTTGACACCATATGGGTAATCGTAGACAGATTGACCAAATCAGCACACTTCCTACCGATAAAAAACCGACAAGATGGAGAAGCTGACTAGAACGTACATCAAAGAGATTGTACGACTCCATGGTGTGCCGATATCCATTATCTCCGATAGAGATAGTAGATTTACCTCACGGTTTTGGCAGTCTCTACAAAAACCTTGGGAAACTAGGCTTGACATGAGTACGGCCTACCACCCACAAACCGACGGACAGAGCGAACGAACCATTCAAACGTTGGAAGACATGTTAAGAGCTTGTGTGATAGACTTCGGTAAAGCATGGGATACCCATCTACCGCTTATCGAATTCTCCTACAATAACAGCTATCATACTAGCATCAAAGTCGCTCCATTCGAAGCTCTTTACGGTCGCAAATGCAGATCACCCCTGTGTTGGGCTGAGGTGGGGGATACACAGCTAGCTAGAGGGCAAGTCTCTAATAGCACCCTCACTGGCCCTGAAATCATAAGGGAAAAGAGTCTCGAGATCGGCAAAAGAGTTACGCAGACAAACAACGCAAACCCTTGGAATTCCAGGTGGGTGATCGTGTACTACTTAACGTTTCCCCTTGGAAAGGAATGATACGATTCGGCAAACGCGGGAAACTAAATCCAAGGTACATCGGGCCATTCGAAATCCTTGCTAGGATTGGGCCAGTAGCATACAAACTTCGATTACCTCAGGAACTCGACAAAGTACATCCCACATTTCACGTGTCGAACCTAAAGAAGTGTTTGTCTGGTGAGACACTCGTAATACCACTCGACGAAAATTGAAGTTAACAAAAATCTCCACTTCGTGGAGGAACCAGTCAAAATCATGGATCGGGAAATCAAACGAACGAAACAAAGTCGTAGTCGAAAACTGGGTGAAATGGGGCTGTCTGCGAGACCTCTCGCATGGACTGTCTGAGAGGCTTCTCATGCGAGGCTTCTGTCCTGAGAGGCTTCTAATGAGAGGCTTCGGTCCTGAGAGGCTTCTCATGAGAGGCTTCGGTCCTGAGAGGCTTCTCATGAGAGTTTTCGCTTCTAATAGGAGGGTTTTGGTTCCTTAAGGTTATTTTACCCGTTTTTACCCCGTTTCAAGTGGTTTTTTTTTACCCGGTTAAGGGTTGGGATGGCCCGAATGATTACAAAAAGTTAAAGTAACTTTTGAGAGAGATTTGGGAGAGATTTCAAATAGAAAGAGATAGAGTGAAAACGATTTAGAGAGGTTTCGTTTGTGATTAATTTGAGTGTCCGGCTTCACAACGCAAGGTTCGTAAACCCCGTTAAACCGTGTTTTAGTGTCGTACACACTCCCGATGAGTGTGCAATAATTTTTTTTTATCGTTTTGGTTCAATGTTTACTGCATTTGAGACTTAGGAAATTCAACACACGAACTTTCCAAATAATGTTTCTCTCATTAAAATATTGCATTGTACAGTAATTACATAGTGTAAACCCTAATATACAAGGGTTAATTGAGTCGATTGGTTTTGACTTGTTGACTTTGTTTGACTTTGACTTGACTCAATTTTGACGGTTGTCACAGATTAGGATTAGTAACAACCGACTTATCTTTAAGACCACTTTCTGCGGTCTTCAGAAGTCCTTGAAGTTTGCTGAGTGTAACTTCCTCCTTGTTCATGTGGTATGTCATGCGGAATTGATCATAACACGAAGGTAAGGAGTGCAAAATGATATCTATTGCCAACTCCTCTGGGAAGTTCACATTCAGTTTCAGCAAATGGTCCACATACCTTTGCATTTTCTGCATGTGGCGCTTTTATGGGTTCACCATCCTTCATCATGGTTGTTATCATGGAGGAGATGATCTCATATCGCTCTTGACGAGCACTCTGATGGTAGCGGTCCATCAAATCCTGGTGCATCTCAAAAGGATAGTAGTCCTCATAGGACTTTTGGAGCTCGGCTGTCATAGTGGCCAACATGATGCGTGCCACTTTGGTAGAATCCCTTTCACGGGCTTGATATTCAGCGATCTCCTCAGGAGTAGCAGACGACTCGAGTTCTTTGAGCTCCTTGTCGAGGACATATTCCTTGTCCTCATACCGAGTGACCATTCTGATGTTCCTGATCCAATCCATAAAGTTGGATCCATCAAAGATGACTCTCCTACAAAGGTTCATGAGAGAGAAGGAGCCGGTAGGGTTTGAGTCAAAACCAACATTGTTGGAAGACATCTGAAAAGAAGAAAGACAAGTTTAGATTAGATATAAAGATAGTCCTTAATAAAACACCCAAATGTAATATTAAGGCTATGACCCAACACAATATTTTATAACTTAGAAGAGGGATGCCGAATCCAAGCTATAAAATATTTGAAGGTAGGTGAATGACGATTCACCAATTTCCACCATGAAAAATGAAATAAGTTATTAGGTTTTAATTGGTTTTGAAACTCCTAGATTCTTTGAGATTCATTGAACTTTTCAATGACATGTTTCAATCTCGAGTATGCCCTTCAGGTTTTGTGACTGGGATGCCGAGGATCACAAAACAAGGTGTGAAGTAACCATGCAAATTACTTGGTACCCTCAATATTTACCCCTCAATCGATGTGTTGGTTAAGCACACGCGCTCCATCGATACTATGATAAATATTAAGTTACCCTTTGCTTACCTTGTTAAGTACAGGTTAGTGTGCCGGTTAACCACACACGCTCCACTAACGACTTAATCAAAGTGCAAAGTGTAATTTCATGGGTTAGCACCTTATTCACATTTTCCTAAAGTAACTAAGATTGGGAATTTATAAAAAAACATTTAGTTACTTTATTTTTCATCATACTTTTAATGAAGATTTAGAAGTCCTTGTCCTACCCGTTCGGCTAACGACCCTCCACCAGTCAAGGAAGCGGTGGGTGAGAGTAGACACCCATTAAGCTGCCATTTTATAGGCAACAACCTTATACCCCCCTTATAGACCGGCTTCGTGAATGAGGCATACTAACGGTAAAACGTCTTGTTCTTATATATATATATATATATATATATATATATATATATATATATATATATATATATATATTATAATATATATTATTAACTTATAATATTATAAAGTATAAGGGTTGAATTTTAACTTTTAAAATTCTGGGGGTTGGAACTAAAGTTTTTTTAAAGTGACTTTACATGTTCCAAAACTTGAGGGCAAGTTTTGTAACTTTCAAAACTTTTCATCTTTCATAACTTTCGATTTAATGATGTAATAAAATGAGTGACTTTTCATTTTATGTAACCTATGTGTTTCTTTAATGGACTTTAAAAGAAAGACTTTTCGTAATCCATAACTTGAGGACAAATTATGGATTCCATTAAACACATAAAGATCATGAATTAAACATTAAACAAGTAATTCCTATGATCTATCAAGAACTCATAAGAACATGCATATTCCTATCAAAATTTCAAGAACATATGAACACATATAAACATGAAATTTTGATATTAGCCATTGTAAATGGATTAGAACAAACATTACACCATCTAAAACAAGTTTTATAACACCAAAACAGTTTAGGGTAATGTTTCTAGTCCATTTCCAACAGCAAAACTCGAAAATCTGCATTCAGGGGCTCCTACTCGTCGAGTGCAAGAGCGTACTCGTCGAGTAGGATGAATTTGGTCATGGACTCGGCGAGTTCATGCTTCAGAGTGCAGAAAAACTGAGTGTTTTCACAATTGTGCATCAAGTATCAAACAAACAAGCCTAGGCTTTGATACCACTGAAGGGTTTTGAGCATTCTAACACTCCTATGGTGTACATGCAACCCTAGAAACCTTGGATCTATGTTTTATCTATGATACATGCAAAATTGTTTTTCCAAGGTTCATAACCTATCTAGCATACATGGGGAACTTTTAAACATAAAAGTTAGTAGGAAATACATACCTTGTAGTAGTTAGGATTCCTTGAAAACCTTGTAAGCCTAGCACCTCAAGTGTGATGCCTCAAATGTCTCACACAACACCAAATGCACTTGGAATAACTTAGAGATAAATGAAGAACACTTAGAAATCGGCTAGCCCTCACATGTATACTTAGTGGCCGATTTTTGTGAACAAAGTGATGCTTATATAGTGTGTTACAATTAGGGTTACACCATGTAAACCCTAATTGTCATGACTTTTCATTTCCATGACCCATGGATTCTATAACCACCATGGAGCATCCTATGGGTTTTAGCCCAACTTGATAATCCATGAAGCATTAGCCCACTATATAAGTATGGATGATTTACAGAATCAACCCGTATATTTAATTAGTCTTCTTTTGATCACTTAATTAATTCTTGATCAATACTAACTACATAATACTATTAATATATTAGAACTTATAATATATTAATAAACCTTAAGTGTTATTTCTCTCATTTAGTCTATCCAAATGCATGATGCCATGCAACCCAAATGGACCATGCTAATCGGGTCAATTACATTCCAGAAATAGTTATGAACTTAGACACCTAATCCAACAATGTCATGGTTACAATTGGAATTGGATGATTACCCACAAGCTGAACTGGTAAGACCTCTCTTCTTTTTTCTAATAATAATTGTTATGTTCATTGTTGTGATCTAATTACATTTTTACACTAGTATGTGATTGATTTCATTGATGATCACCCATCTAATGATGATGTTGGTTTGGATAGTGACGAAGATGTTTATTAAGTTGGGGTCGGTTTTGTTAATGAAGCTGATAAATTTGGTGATGTTGATGGTCATGATGGTGTAGATGAAGTTGTTAATGATGGTGAGCTACATGTTAATAATGGTGACAGAGTTGTTAATGATGGAGATGGAGACGTTCATGATGATGATGGACCTGAAGGTGATGGTGATGATCAACAAGTTGTTCCTAAAGATCATGAGGAAATTTTGGGTGATGATGAAGAACATGAGGCTGTCCCAATGGTTAGGAGAATAAGGAAACCATCTGATAGGATAACCTTAACAAAGCTAAAGAAGAGTGTGTATGACAAAGATGGTGATGTTTCTTCATCTGCAAATCCAATCACCTTGGAGTAGTTGGTTAGGTAGAAGAGGGTGTAGCGAAGATGGTATAGGTTGCTACTTTTGTAAAATTGTTTTTTGGAATTTTGGTACATGTACATTGCTACACCCAATAATTGCAGCATACATCCAATTGTTCTTTTGTTACCATTTAGGTTGCCTTTTTTTGCATTGTTTAGGGACTTTTGTACAAATTGATGGTTGTTACATATTGGTATTATGTAATTTAACTATATCTAATGGATACATCCCCTATGTTATGTTCAATCTTTTAATTACTAAAATAACATATTGTACATTGTACCATTTACTACAATTCAAACACCATGTTATGCAATATACCTTTCAAACCATTTTATGCAATGTACTAATAAAACGATTTTATGCAATGTACTTATAAACCAAGCCAATATGTACCAGTGTAATTTTAAAACCCTTTTATGCAATGTACTAATAACAACAATCGAAAAGTACAAATACAATTCTATGTTTCTAATAGCATTTAGTAGTTACTCATGCCATTTTATGCAATATACTTATAAAACCTTCCAAACATTGCAATTGTCGTCCAAACATACCAAGTTACCATCCAAAACTTAAAAATACCATCCCATCATAACAAATACCATCAAAAAGGGGTATTTCAAGTACAAATACATACCTACAACCATTTAAGCACTAATAAAACAACATGTATCATAACAAAAACTGCCAAAACAACTAAGTACCACTAACTCGTGTACATTACTAAAACAAGCATAAAAAATATAGTTACCAACAAAACAAAAACTATATGCATTAATTTCATCATCCATCCCTACTCTATAAACGCATATGACTCTTTCAATGCCATTATATCATTTTTTTTTTCGTCAACCCATCTGAAAAACCTATACCATCCTTCTACGTACATAATAATTTAAGTGCATAATAAGCTTCATGCTGCGTTATATGAAAAACTTAAGATGATGAAATAAATAAGATTGATACCTTATAATTAGGGCACCCCTAAAATTTCTTTCCAATGTTGCCTTGTGTGCATTAGGCATAGACAGTGCATACATCTTCACATCTGCATTTCACTTCGACCTTTATCTTGTATTATGAATTCCTATCTGAGCTAGATTTTTCATAGGATATCAACATTTTGTGTGGGAGAAAAATGTGGATGTGATTGAAATTGTTATAAATCGGGGTAAGGTTTATGTTGACTTCTAAGTAGTAGTCCATGTGGGAATAGCTTGCCAAGAAGGTGAAGGTTACCAGCTACAAGGGGTATAACCTTATAAATGAAAATTTTGAGCCTTTTAAATTGAGTTTCAAGATTTTTTTTGGTCGAATGTATATAGTGAGAAGTCGAAAATAGTCAGAGTCTATAAGTATCGAAAGCAGTATGGTTTTAATATATTACGTATTTACAAGGAAGTTCAGTTTGAATACTTAATGTCTAATCCTTGTATTTTGTGTTAGTCTGTTGTACCCTATAAATAGGGAAGTACTTAGAGTAAAGTATTAAACTTAGCGTCATTTCAAAACTTGTACTCAAACACTCTCTTGTACTCTTCATACTTTAATTGAGCCAAACATATCTTATTTAGATCTCATTTCCTTTATGGATTTTATTGAATCAATTGTGTTCTTAATCTATTTCTAACACACTTCAATTGTTATCAGAGCTTGATTCACACAATCAATTGAAGTTTTCTTGTATTTTTTCATCTTCTGAATCGCTCTTTCCGATTCAAAGTTTTCCTCAGATCGAAACAGGAAACTAGTGTCAATTGATTGGATTGAATTGATTATGCACTCTATGTGTTAGATCAATTGATTTCTAATTGATCTTTTGATCGATTTCTTTCTTAGATTTCTATTTGAATAAAAAATCTCTTTCTTCAAAATCCGTACAACAATGGTGAATTTCATTGTGAACACGATGACTAATTTCTCTCACTTACTCAGATCATCAACAAAGATTCCAATGTTGATTCTAGATAATTACGAGCAATTGGTTGATAGAATGGAAGATTATCTTAATAGTATTAATGAAGACATGATCACACAAGGAAACAATAAAGGTCCCTTCAGCTATGCACCACCCACTTCAAGCTTCTTCAAATAAAAACCAAAAAGGCACTCTTTAAGCTCTCACACACTCAAAATGAGAAGAAATGCACGAACTAGGGTTTCTGTGGACTCGGAGGCGATAAGGGAGGCCAGTAGTGGGACTTAAGGTCCTTAAATAGTGTGCAAAACCCTAAAAATTAGGGTTTCATAATCAGCCACCAACTCATCGAGTTGAGGTCTTCCAACTCGTCGAGTAGGTTTTGTAAATCACGCGGCCTCCTCGGTTTCTACACGACGAGTTAGGGCCTCCCAACTCGTCGAGTAGGTTTTATAAAATGCATAAAATCCCTAACATTTCATACCTGGGAATCGGGATGTTACAATATATATTATATATTATATATATAATATATATATATATATATATATATATATATATTAAAGTATGCAACTCGATGCCTAAGTAAAATGTGATTTTTATTGTATAGGATTTTGAGTATTAAGTAATGTACATAGTGTTGTTTAAGTATACAATTTTTTTTTTTTTGAGAAATATTATTTTGTGGAACACCTCAAAATTAAAAAAAATTAATATTATAAAAGGGTCGGGTTAATGGGTCGAGTATTCGTTGATTCGATGGATACGGGTATGAATATGATTATTCAAAACCCTGAAGGTTATAGAAGCGGGGGAGGCATGTTTTTAATTTTTTTAAAAGGTTTGAATGAGTAGTGATTCGCTCCAAACTCGTCTTATTGACATGTCTAATTGCAAGAAATCATATTGATACTTAGACAATTTTGACCTCTACAAAGTACCAATTATAAACAATTATATTCATTCCAATATATTATTGAATACTTATTAAGATATTTGTTAAAAAATATAAAATAGTTGTTAATGATATGTGCGTGGGGTAAATGCCAAACTATCGTATTTTCTTTTGTCTATTTTTCTAACACATGATGTAAAATGGGGCAACTTAGCTTCCTTTGCATTGAATATCAACATACTTTTCTTCTTCTAATTTCTATGACCTAATACAAAAAGTGACAAGTTATTTTTTGTTTTTCATGCTAAATAATGACGTATTTTCCTTTGATTTATTTTGTGACCAATAGCATATATATATATATATATATATATATATATATATATATATATATATATATCTATATATATATATATATATAGGCTTAGGTTATTCTATTCAAAGTAATTATTGTGTATTGTCATGCATAATGTGGGCCAATCATTTTACTTATTTTAAGAAAGTGATTTACCTATATTATTAAATAAAAGAAAAATAAAATAATACCATTTAATTAAAAGAAGGGTAATATTGTACATTTGCATTGCCTTAAAATTAGGAAAACCAAATGTAAAAAAACAAACTTTCAGATTTTAATGGATCTTTGATTATCTTAATTTTTGAATTTTGATTTTTTTAAATTAATTTAGTTTAAATAATTCTAACATAATTTTTAATCATACACGGTTTTATTCTGTCAGAATGACATTCTTTTTATAATGATATTCTATGAAAATGCAAGCCATAAACTAATAAAGAGACTTACTTCTCGCAGAATAAACAATTTTTAGATACAGTTAAATTTTTTTTCTATCACATCCTTGAAAAAATAAAAACTTTTATATTTTATTCTATAATAATGAAACACTCCCTAATAACAAACAAATATAATATGTATATTATTCTATTGGAATATACTATTACATATACTCTTATCATTCTATTATAGATTAATCTAACAGAATATGACAATGAGTAGTGCATTTTTCTGGAAGATCGGTGACCATTGAGGATTGTTCATGTCTATCCCACACGCATTCATCCAACCTTCGGGTCATTGATCATCATGTACTTCATTCATTCTATGAGAATAACTGTCATGAAAATGAATTATGTAAGAATAAAACTATGTGAGAATGCTTTTATACGACAAAAATAAAACAAATTTTAGTAATTCTAAGAGAAATCATACTACATGATAAAATCAAGTAACCAAATAACGAACTCATAATTATTTTTTGTGTTCTTCAAGAATTTGAACATCAAGTTCTCTTTCAGGCATTTCTACAAACACCTGGTGTGCAATATTCTCATAGAATTATTTTTGTGTTCTTTAAGATTTCTGAACCGCCATGACTTGTTAGAATCACATAATTACTGTTCACGATAAATATTTCCATGAAAAAAATCAAAAAAAGAAGATGAAAATACTTACAAGTAAAATGCAAATTATAAGCATGTTCTATTATCATACAAGAAATATTTCCACTGTCCACACCATGCATGATAAAAGGTTGGATCCACCCATGCTTACAATTTGCATTTTTCTGTAGGAAGTAAGATAATTATAGCATATGTATGATAATAGAACATGAATGCTACTTAAAAATTACTTATTCAAACCAACAACGAAGATCATATACACACAAATAAACCATATAGTATTAAGAAATTCTATCAACACCAATGTATATGTAATAAATAAAGAACTACTACTACACAGAAACTCAGATTTGAACTAATTCCTTGTTACAAATTCTAAAACATCAACCCAAAACTCAACTATCATCAACGGACAATGGTTTTAGTGAATAAATGATCCTTCTGGACAATTTTCGGTACAAGGAGTCAACCAAACAACAACACAGTGCGGTAAAAAGCTTAATCTATGATTTTTAATATGTGTTTAGTAAGTAAATCATACCTTAAATCAAGCCTTACGACTTTTGCTTCCTTTCTGTTGTGTTTTACACCAAATCGTCCCAAATATTTTGAGAGTTCGTGATCGATTCTTTCAAATCGACTAAAACGAGTAACCTCCATGACCTAATCAACTCCAACAAAGAAATCAAGAGTAATGACTCATTAACCTAGACACAAACAACATCAACTAAACCAAACTATAGCATAATGAGATGA